CTCCCCCCCCCTCCCGTCGACAAGCAGCGCCTCGTAGAGCATCGTAGCGCTCACAACTACCACGAGCACATCGGGCACGTCGTACGTTAATAATCTCCTTCCACGGGTAGCATCTGGTTACTGGCGAGTAGGGACGTAATGGCCTCACTGAAAAATGTTTCTGGCTATGACTTTCCTTGGCTTTCAGTTTTCATCTACACTTGCCCCTCTCCCTCGACGACAGTTTTTTTGGATAAACAGGAGAATTTCTCAGGCGGTAAATGACTGGAAATGGTCGAAGGTTGGGGACAGTTGAGGAAGGTAGCAAGCTTGATGAGGAGGGATGGGAAGGGTACTGCCCGACGAACCTCGTCCATGAGCATCGTGGAATAGGCTGGATTCCTCATGAAGCTTGAATAAGTATTCAATTATTCGATTTTCAATCTACCATATTGCCTACAGTACGTACATTTTCAGGTCTGTTCTATAGGAGCGCTATGCCATCTAGCTGCTTTTTTTATAATGGTTCGTCATAAGGTGTTTCGGAACCCATTTGGCCGTCTCTCTGCTTGCTACGCTTTTTCAAGCGCCTCCCTTCTTATTGTATTTCTTCTATGGTCCGTCCCGTGGACTATTTGGTAAGATATAACACAGCTCGAACATGCTCTACTGTAGAATCTGAACCAGGAAATTATAGTGGGTCACATAGTCGGTTCCCGTCAAAATAGCGGATCATTCTTTGAAAGCTGTTTTCTTCTTGTTATCTTCGAATGTTGAACAACATTCAGCGATAGCAGGAATGAGGAAACGTTTGCAATTCTGAGAGATGAGACTCTCTGGGCCAAGAGATCATGTTACAGGCCTGAAGAGATACGGCTTCAATAAGAAACCTGAGCGGTGGCATACCATTTCTTTCAATGTAATGCATGCGCAAGCACATGTCGTATTAAAACTATTAGACTCAGCTAAATCAGTAGAAAACAATCAGCTGATTCCAGAAACAAGAAATATGACTGCTCCTTCTCCGTTCTCCAAGTTGAGATCCTTATTAGGTCCTTAGTTTCGATAGAAGTTGTATTGGTCATTTCCATAGCGCGCTTATGTACTTTGAAGAAGTACAAGCTATTACCACGTTTGCGCCATCAGCATGCAGACATGCATTGCAAGTTCGTGGATTTGGTCAAAGGAAATCTCACTGAGACGAACATTAGGCTCCTATCCGACAGTCGTCTTAGATTATTCGTGTAGATGCGTTGACGCCCACCTCCCCCAATCCATCACTGGACAAAGCTAGGAATTCCTTGTAGTCAACGATGTCTTAAGTTCACTGAAATATTATAACATTCAGGGATGTACCGGACAACTTGCACTATTTGAATCTGAGGATGGGACAATGGATGTTGGGTTTTTACGCGGCAACGATCCATTCCAGTTTAATCATCTCTATTAATAGGTATGAATTTTCCTCTTTTAATCTCTGGATGATAAGGGTGTACATATAGACGACAAGGTTCCAGGTAACTCGATGATGAGGAACAACAGAAAAAAAACATGCTAACCCTTTTGGATAGGACCCCGTTTCGGTCCCAGTTTGTACGTGACCAGTTAAATCCATCTCCTGCAGTACGCCCTCATTCGCACAGCTGATCCCCCGATAAGACTCTACGAACGTACTAGTGACACCTGCAGTTTCGTTTTTCACTGAAGGGCTGGCTCTGAAGGCGGGGTCTGGAGGCGGAATCTTTGGAAGTTCGTACCGAACATCCCTGTAACGGTTTTGCGGCAAAAACCTCCAAAGGAGGGGCACTGTAGCGGAATATAGCAGTAACTCCCCCTCCCGGCTCCATATTTTCTACTTCTATACCCGATCACGGACCGTTCCTTTGAGTGGCTGCTTTCTCGAAACCACAATCAATAAATTGTTCTTACGTACAGATTCGTGGCAATCTCGTTCCCGATACAATATCGCACGTTTTTCACTCTTCGCACGACGTACGGTCTCATGGCAGTGATCGCTGCTACATTTGTAGTCAACTGGAGCGTAGCTCTAATAGGTAATGATTTTCTTCGAAGTTTCTCAATCCCTTTTCGGCATGGACTTCCAGATGGATGCGACTACTTCTACAGTCATGATTACACGTACTGGGCATATGGTAGTGAGCCGTGCGCCCAGGAAAAAAAAAAAAATTCCCCCCCCTAAACAACCAAAAAAGCAAATTATGTCAACGTTCAGTATGGCACCTGTGTAGCAGTAGCGGTCGCAGTGATTGATAGTATTGTTATCGTACAGTTGAGGTTGACAAACCAGGTAGTATCTTTCAGATTCCTCTTATAACACTTAGTGAAATGTTTTTGTACAGAAGAGTATTTCGCGCATGAATGGAGGGCAAAGAGAAGCCGCTACACGGAACATGAGAGAGTTCAGGTTTTTCATGCAAGTGAGTTGGTGAAAAACCTCTACGGTACAATCAGATTCCTCTTGTCAAAATCAGGATTTGTTTCAATGCCCTTTACCGCAGTGCCTGTTGTTCAGAATAGTTCACCTAAAATCAGTGCTGGAAGTTGTTTCATCAAGATAGCTGTTATCTACCGCCAAAGTTCGCTCTTTCAATGTTGTCTTAAGAATGCCAAAGTTATGGGCAAATGTCTCGATCAGGGGGGGACTGAACGCCACAAAGGCTAAATCACTTCGCCCCTAGGATCAAGACTTTCGCCTTTAAGTCAGGAATCTGTGATAGTTGATGTTGGAGTCGGTTTAGAACCATGAAAAAATGTCTGGAGTGTGGCTGTAATAATTCAGTTCAATAAAAGAAGTTGCAAACGTCACAGAAAGCTCGTATCCTTTTGGTGACATTTTTGATTCTCGGAGAAAAGCTATCCATGTTGATTTTCCAACAAAATTTTGCAATATACATACCAGTGATTTTCTCCTCACTGTCCGCAGTGGAGAATAAAGAAGTTTCCAAATATGTCCTATGTCCCCTGCTGTACATCTGAATAGCGTCTGAGAGGCGAGGATGGCACACACAAACAATCAAACCTGCTCACTATGTGCACAGGAAGGGTACACGTCTCAGCTACTCGTGGAAAGTGTCTTCGAATCATGAGTATGTCCCATCTAATTTACCCTGTGGTGCTAAGGAATATCAACTTTCTGTGAACATAAAACGGATTCCATTACAGTTCCAGAACGAAGGTGCGGATAAAATGGGAACCAGTTAGAAACTATTATATGTAGAGGAGTTTCTGCATATCCGCTATTTTCAGTCTATTGCCTGCTCAGGCGCTTCTCCTGGTGCTTCTCGTTATCTACTTTACGTTGGCTCCTCTTACTACGACCGATTTCCAATTCTTCTTATGCACCACGCTAGCCTGGGCCTCCACTCACGCAATTTCGGGGTAAGTGTTTTTAAGTCAAGGTTCCTGTCTGACCTCTCTGAATTCAGAGGTGATACATTCCAGCGAAGAGCCTGTGATCACAAATCGTGAGTGGGCCTCAAATCACGAGGTTAAGCTGCTAAAAACTTATCAGTAAAGAATGAAAGCAAAAATCCGTCGGAAATGCGTTAGATGATATCCCTTCGGGCAATGAAAGAGAGGGTGTGAGTGGACCATCACGGGACAGTTGACAGCTGTGTCGTGATTGATACGGTCTTTGTCGTCGTTGTACCCAGCTGATTTCTTGTATTAGGTTGTCCGGAAAGTTCTCAGCGTTTTGTGTTACTATTTTTTGTACATTCATTGCTGATTAAAAACTCATTCTCCCTTGCGTCTCAGTAGTACATCCTGAAGAGAATTTTTGCGCTATCTGATGGTATAATTGCCGTTTCACCATTGCTTGATAAACCCCTTTTCCCAAGACTTTTTGAAGCATGTCAAAAGAGCAACTTCGGACGATATTTTTCTTCAACTACAAATTGGGTCAATCCGCAGTCGAGACAGCTCGACAAATTAACCAGGTGTGGGGGCCCAATAGTGTTGGAGAAAGCACCGTGCGATGGTTCGACAAATTTCGTTCTGGAGATTTCAGCCTTGAAGATGAACCTCGTAGCGGTCGACCTAAAGCAATACCTGACGAGGATTTGAAGGCGTTTGTGGAGGCTGACCCATCCCAAACAGTTCGAGAGATTGCAGAAAAGCTAGGCGTTGGCAAATCCAATGGTCCGAATTGCATTGGGAAGGTGAAAAAACTCGACAATTGGGTGCCCCACAATTTGAGTGACCGGCAGAAATTGGCACGTCTCGAGGTTTCTTCTTCACAGCAGAAACGACCCGTTTTTGGGCCAAATTGTCACCTGTGATGAGAAGTGGATCATGTATGATAACCAGGGCACATCGTTGTTGGGGAATCCCCCATTAGGGGGGGGGGGTCGTATTTGGCCGCCAGGAGAGGGGGGTCGTATTTGGGCTGGGAAAAATTTATTTTGATAGTTGATTTTTCTCGCTTCACGGACGTTGTAAAGGGGGGGGGTCGTACTTGGTCATTTTTGGGGGGGGGGGTCGTATTTACGTTTTGGCGTTGTAGGACTGGTGGTTGACTTTTGGTGATTTT